AAGGACAGCAACTTGTCTGTTCCCCTCCCCCAATTCCCCAATAAAATCTTTTAAAAAATAAATACAATAAGAATGACTAATGGATTGAAACACATCAAATATATAAAATTCTGTGAACTTTAAAATGATACTCAAAATTCATCTGTCACCATTAGAGGTTACTGCAGCATTGACTCATTGCCCTGAAAATTGATAAATAAAAAGAAGAATCACTTATCTGCCTTTCTTGTACAAATTATATTTCTGGGTAGTCGGTTAAGGAAAGTTCTTTTTCATAAAAGAATTGTAATTAATTAATGCATAAATAATATACAAATATATACATCATTAATAAAAACAAAAGCTGAAGACAAATGGGAAAATATGCAATGTGTAATAAAAGCCCAGTATCTTAAATATGTAAAGAGGTTTTTCTTTTTTTTTTTCCTGAAAAGGTTTTATTGCACACGGAGGGGCTGGGGCTCAGTCCGTCTCGGCTGCTGCCTTCCGCCTGGCTGCAAGGACAGGGCTCAGCTCCTCTCTCTTCCCCTTGGCTCATGTGTGTGTCCCGCCCTTTGCTTGGTGAACTTCAGGGCCCACTTGTCCTTAGAGACCTTGAGCAGCTCCATGGCGTATGCTCATCCCTGGCAAAGCCATCCAGCTCTGGGATGACATCCCACACGGATTTGGTGTGCTTGGAGAGGCCCCCGCGGCAGCTGTGCCTCAGCTTGGTCACTTGTGGCCCTTGTTGAGGCCCACGGCCATGGGGTAGCACAGAGCCATGGCTGCTGCTCCTCAGTGGTGCCGCGGTGGAAGGAGTAAAGAGGGTTTTGAAGTACACATTTCCTGATATTTAACACATTTGACACAGTGGCTGGTAAAAGTTGGCATCCTATGAAGTCTGTTCAATGATACGTTTACTTTTTTTTCCTCTTTTCACTAACAATTATATTCTATAAAACTTTATAATTTGTATAATATGTTTTGGAAATTATCAGAATTTTAATGCTGAAAAGAGATCATCTAATATCGTTTTACAGAGAGGAGAGACTGTCACATGGATAAATGAGCCATTAAGTGCCATTTTTTTATTTAAAGTAACTTTTACATAAACATTTCCCAGGAAATGTACCTGATTTTTTTTTTTTAAGATTTTTTATTGGGGGAGAGGAACAGTGTTGGGGAATTGGGGAGGGGGACCAGCCAAGTTGTTCTTCAGTCTTCATTGTGGAGGGCGCCAGTCGCCATCTGGCTCCTGTCGGCAGCTTGTGGCCTCTAAGCTCAAGGTGCTGTGTTCATTTTGAGTTGCAGGTGGGCGTAGCTGCCATCCCACACAGGAGTTGAACCAGCAGCCTTGTTAAGAGCGCGCACTCTATCCACTGAGCCATCCAGGTGGCAGCTCAGCTCAAGGTGCTGAGTTCAGTGTTAGTAGTGGGTGGGCATAGCCACCATCCCATGCAGGAGTCAAACCTGGCAGCCTTGTTATTAAGAGCGCACGCTGTATCCACTGAACCATCCCGGTGGTAGCTCAGCTCAAAGTGCCAAGCTCAGTCTTAGTTGCGGGTAGGCATAGCCTGCAATCTTGTTACACCAGTTGAGCCATCCTGCCACCTGTTGGCAGCTCAGCAACAGCTCAGCTCGGGGCACAGCGTCACTGGTCCATATGAGAATCGAACCGGCGGCCCTGTTGCTCAGAGCTCGCTCTCCTAACCAACTGAGCCACTCGGCTGGCACCTGATGTTTTTAAATGTATCTTTTCCTCAAGAAGTTTCTAAATGCTCAGAGCTCTTTGATTTTATCTTCTAGGTTTCATCTTAATTAGAGGACTCTTGGCATTTCATAATCTAGAACTGGATATTTTGGATTTAAAAGTTTACTGATAACAACTTGCAGAATTTTAATACTTTTTTTTTTTTAGGCTGAATCATGTCAGGGAGATTTAAGTACATTGGCCAGTGTGGTTACATCATTAGCAAATCTTGGAAAAACTAAAGATCTTTCTCAAAATAGTAATGAAATATCTGTGATTGAAAACTTAAGCAATGGTGATACCTCTTTGTGTGAATTTAATCAAGAAATGCACACCAATGGTGATGTTTCAAGGTAAGGTCTGTTTTGATCTTAAGTGCCCTTTTGCTTAAGTGTTCTTTAATATTAAAATATTTGTATGTTAAATACTATTGACAGAAGTTTCAGAAAACAAGTATTTCTGTAAGACTTAGAAAATGTAATGCATGGTAAGTTTTAACTGAAAAACTGCATTCAATGTAAAATGTTATCCAATAGGTTACATTCTAATTAATGAGCAATAACTGAATATTATAAGTTAGAAATGTAGTCATAAAATACAAGAATTTTTTTCCCACTAAAAATGATAATTTGGGTCCGAAATTTCAGATACTTTAGTTGCCAAATTTTATCTTCTGTGTATTTAAACATTTGTCTTAGGCGGTCATGTTCATTTTCCCCACCAATTTTTAGTGATAAGATAGATTTAAAAGATAATTAAATCAACTATAATTTTAATTATACTTCAGGAAACTCATATCAGAATTCTATTTTTCATTCTCTCAATATTAATACTTAGGATGTAGAAACCAGATTTCTTCAGGCTTTTTTCACACTTTGTTCATTATCTAAAATATTGACAATACTGCATTTAAAAACCTCAATACGTACTTAGTTGAACATGAGCATTTAAGAAACTCTAGAACACATCTCACTGAAAAAAGGAGGAGCTGTTTTGAATAATTATTTGCTAATATTAGTTAATTATTTGCCATCCTAATCTCAAATATAGTTTAGGTGTAGCTTTGTTACCACCAGTTTAAAAATATTCTCTGAATTTTTAAATAAAATTAAAACCTAACTTTGTGTTGTATAAAGTCAACGTAACTTCTTTCCCTTGTTCTTTCTAAGTAACTGCTATATAATCAGTGGGCTGAATCTTGTAGTATCAAATGTATAACTTGTAAATGTATAGTTTCATACCAAAGTATAAGGATTTTTCTCCCCCTTAATTACCTAAGATGTTTTTTAAAGACTAGTTCTCTGGTAATACATTAATGTAATAATATAGTTTTTCATACTATCCATATGAAGTTTAATTTGTTGCTTTTGGGGAGAATCATAGATATCATTGAAATACACTGTTCAGTGATACACTGACGTTCTATTTTCTAAACAGCTTTTTAGGCCTAAACCTTAATTCAGAATTTTATATAGAATTTTTATTTTATTGTGGAGATGGGCCAAGCTCACAGCTTCTGATGTCTCCTTATAGGGCATTTGATACTCTTGCAAAAGCATTGAATCCTGGAGAGAGCACAGCCTGTCAGAGCTCAGTAGAGGGCATGGAAGGAAGCGTACACCTAATTGCTGGAGACTCGAGCATAAATTACATCGAAAAAGAGGGGCCACTTCTCAGCGATTCACATGTAGCGTTCAGGGTATTTCCATATATATTTTATAATTTTTATGTTGTATTATCCATTTTGCTTTTAATCTTCCTTTCAAAAATCAAAGTATATTTGTTGTGCTTTTAAGTCAGAAATATCCCTGATAGAATTCAAAACAGCAGCTAAAACATATATACCTGGCTACATAAAATAATGGCTTAAATAAAGCGCACACCCTGTTGATAAATCATAGTTATAATATCAATGGGTTTAAGTCTATAAAAGTCAGCTTTTACAACATGTAGACATAGTTTTTTTTTTTTAACTTTTAAGCATTGGCATTATGTGTCAAATGCACTGGTTTTGTTCAATGCCTAGCTACTGCTATTTACCATAGTAACTAAAGAGAACTCCCATTTATTACGGATTGCCCCAGTTAGCTAGCTCTCAGAATTATTTTAAAAAGGTAAAAATGATTGAATAAATTTATTTTAACTTTTGGTTTTTAACTTTTTACACTTCAACCACTTTGGAGAGGGTACATTTATAATTTTCTTTTTTGCTCCCCTAAATACATTAATTTATGATGGAAACAATACATGTAAAATACTAGAAACAATTCATGTAGAATATTAGAAAACAACTTTCTAACGTTTGATTGTCATTTAAATGATGTTTGGACCACAGCTGTGTATATGCTGACCCTGTGGCCCTAATTAAGACCCTGCTGTTTTGACCCCTCCTTGTTGACCCTCTGTTTCTTTGCTCTGCCAGCTATGAGCACAGTTAGCAAATCGTATGAAAGGTGATTGAAAGTACGTAGGACATTTCAGTTAGCAGTACATAGACCTGGAATACCTAAGTGTAATTGCTCATTACTATAGGTTATACATTCGCATGGGTTTCTTATTAAAATACACAGTTATCAAATAGATATGTGTGTTACTGGTAGAAATAATGAACACAAATAAATATAACACTGACCAAAACAGCATATGACAAAATTTGCTTTTGCAAAATTTGACTTGGTAGAAAGCCACAAAGAAAACTCACAGTGACTTAATAATTGCTGTAATTTGATAGTCAATAAAACATACCAGTGAAACCAATCTTCATTTTTCCCATTGTTCTTTTTTATTCTAAATGAAAGATATTCTTTTGTTTTCTTAGTTTTATTTTCCATCTTTGGGTTTAAATGGAAAGGAAGGGTAAAAGACATGTAGGAAGAGGGCCCATTGCAAGGAAAAAATACTCTCAGAATACTTGTATAGCAAGTAGTAGTCCACCTTTTTTTATTGTTAATGTTGGTCATCACAGTTTTTTAGTGTTTCAGATATTTGTTTTGGACAGGAAAATTTGGCAATTAGAACTTTTTATTTTTTCCAGTCCATCTTTGCCCTGCTCTACTCTGGATAGCCTCAGAAGCAGTACTGTAAAGTTTCTTGCTCTCCTGAAAAAGACAGCTCCTTCTTTCTCTGATTTTTGTTTCCTGCCTCTGTGAAATCAAGATTGTTTTTTCAACGACTTTCCATCCTGGTACTTTGATGATTAAGTTCTTTCATTGAGGTTTTCTGGTTGTGAATTTCAGCAGAACATCTGTAATCAAAAGCTCAATCCTCTCTCAATTGCAATGAAAAACAAAAAATACGTCATGACTTTTCCAACAACCCAATAAATAGCATTTTGTTTCTCTGTTGCATTTTTATGTGTGGTGTAGTTTGCAGCATACTTTAACGTACATTCTTTTCATTTGAGCCTCACCACAGTCTGTTGAGAAAGTTTGGATTGTTATTGTCATTTCATGAATGAGAAAAGAGATTCGGAGGTTTTAGTGTCTTGTTCAAAGCAATCCAGGCAGTAAGGAGAAAGTCTAATAATACAACTTAACATTTTAATTCTGAAGAATCTAAGACAATAGAAATATTTAATATTTTTACTAAACTTCAGAGTTTCTGGTGTTATTTCATATACTGTATCTCACTTGATTCTTGCAATTTCCTTATACAAATAATCAAGGCAGATAGTATTCCCATTTAGAAATAAGTATATGAGACAGAGAGGTAGGTGATTTCCAAAACTGTTCTCCCCTGATGTTTCTCATCTCAGTGTTAGAATCACAGTCCTTCTTGTCACCATGTTTGATGTTTGGGAATCTTCATCATTCTCCCCATGCCTCACTCTCCTCCATTCCCTGACTGAATCTTAACCATTCCATTGTTTGCGTTTCTACCTTTTTCTTCATTTTCATTTCCAATTTCAAGCCTTTTTAAATTTCTTAAACTATTATGGCATTATCTTTGTTTGTAGTCCCTCTTTTCCATTTTGTCTGTGCACTCATAAGAAAGTAATTGTTAAAAATCAAGCCAGTTATGTTACTCTGCTATACCTAAAAGCCTTCAGTAGCTTCCCATTGCCCATGTGAGGTGAAGTCCTTGCCGAACCCTTCACATTCCGATCCAGTTGTCCATCATTTCATCAACACACCATTCCCTTTTTTAGCTTCTGTAGCTCATTCAGTTTCCATTTTATTCCTGTATTGAGACTACAGCACTTTGCTTAGTGGCTCACAATGAACTCTCAATAAATAGTTGCTGAATTAATATGTGATCCAGGTTCACACAACTATGACAAATTGGGAGTACAATCCAGATCTCAAATGATTTTTTTAAAAGCTGTATCATTCAGCCTATTATCAGAATTACATATAGAGACTGCCAGAAAGAGCATTCCAGACAATAACTTGTAAAATAGGTAGCCTAGTTTAGTTCATGTCAACGCTTTTTTTAAAAAAAAACCTCAAGGCCGGCCAAGTGGCTCAGTTGGTTAAGAGCTCGCTCAAGAGTGTGAGCTCTGAGCAACAGCGGTTCGAGTCCCGCCTGAGCTGAGCTGCCAACAGGTGGCAGGATGGCTCAGCTAAAAAAAAAAAAAAATCTTAATATGTTAAATGTATATAATTTGAAAAATGTATATAATTCAGTTTATAAACCTAAAAGTCCATAGGCATATGGGGAAAGCTTTAACATCTTTGTAGTAGAAGCTTACCTACTCTATATAGAGGAAGAAATATAATCTAAAAGATTTGTTTCGTTAGCCAACATTGGCTCTCTTGATTCATAATGCTAGGCATGTATCTTGCCTGAAGAAAATGAAGTATGTAAAACAGATAAATTACCAGACAATCCCTCTCTATAACATACTACAACATGGTAGTCTTTTAAAGAATGAGTTCCTGTATATTGCAAATGATTTGAATTTTATGACTAAAATAACGAAGTTTTCAATGTTACCATCACTGTTGTGTAAATCAAGGTGCATATGTACCTTTTAGCCCTTATGTCCAGTTTTTACATATTTTATTTTTTTAAACTGTTCAGCAAAGGGTATTTTTGTTGTTGTTTTGCATCTTACTTACTCATCCCCCCAAAGCTAGTAATCTTTGGTAATTCCCCTAATTTTTGTCCTGTTCATCTTGGGCAGTTCTGAAAAGGTATGAGAGTTCCCAATTTGTTTTTTTAATGTCTACTTATGTGTAGAAACAGTTGCATCCTAATCATTACACTTAAAATGTTTAATATCTGCTTGCCTATAGGTCTCTTGAGAATTATCTTAAATAATGGTATTTTAACTTAGTGCTCCAGTAAACATTTCTCAAACATTTAAAAAATTATCTTCTAATAAATGGAATTTCAGCTGTTAATTGCCTTGTTGTTTTGTTACTTGGCACCATTTGTGGCTAATGTTGAATGAAGGTAGTTATTTTTATCTAACAGTTTCGGAGAACTTTTGTATGATTTTGATGAAAACCTTTTGATCTGTTTGGCATCATAGACATCGTTGAGAATGTGATGAAAGCTGTATATCCATTCCCCAGAAAAACACATATAGGCATATCACCTACTCCACCCAAGGGGCAGCCACTGCTGTTAGCTGTGGTGTATTTCCTTTTTTCACATATATATTCTCTCTCATACATAAATGGGGTCATCTATAGAATTGTTTTGCAGTTTTTTCCACCTATATATCTCTGAGATGTTTTGTTTATGCCATTACATCTCAATTTATCTTACTAATTTTAATACCTACAAGGTAGTCTATATCATGGATTATTCTTTTCCTTAGTGAGGAAATTTGGATTATTGCCAGCATTTAATTTCTCTGTTAGAAGTAAATACTACAATGGACATCTTTACACATGCTTTTTTGTGTGTGCAGGTATGCAATATTTTTCTGGAATAGAGATTTAGAAGTGTCATTATTAGGTCGCAGGATATATTTTAAAGTTTTGATAGATACAGCCAAACTGGTCGTCATTTTACCTACATTCATTAGTATGTGAGTACTTGTTTCCCTGTATCATCACCTATACTTGATATTAGTGATCATTTCAATAATGTATTTAAATAGCAAAAATATTTCTTTGGGTGAAATTACATTTCACTTATAGCAATAAAAGTTCTCATTAACGAGATTTTCAAAAATGCTTTTAAAAGTGTTTGGGTGTAGTATATTTATTTCCAACAGTGGTCACACATTTAAAATAACTACCTAAAGTCAGCAGTACAAACTGACAGCCTGTGAGGATTATGGTCACAGACACATTTCTATTTTACCTGTAGATTAAATAGGGAGATTTTACACAGAACCTGCTCTTGGAAAAACTGAAAGAGCAGGCATGGCTGAGCCCAAATTCCCATATGTTTTCAGTGTGTGGAATTCATTCAAGTCTCAGTTGTGCCCTTTATCTGGGAATGTGCACTGCCCAGATGGCACCAGCAGGCACACTTCACTGATCACCCTCCTGACCTATAAGCATTTGAATTTGTTAACTCAGTAGCCTAAATGAAAGG